CATTTTGCTGAGGCTGGCTGTTGAGATCCATATTAACAAGCCTAATTTGTGCATCCAAAAGAAGTTAGTTCAGACACTATCCTTACCTTGGCCATCTAGGTTTGAATGATCCTGAATTTTGTGGAAGTTTCCTAATTTTAGTTGATATTCTATTTGATACTATATCTTTATCATTATTATAATTTAAGCATCTTTAATGAACTGTAATTCCATTGTGATCTTACTTTACAAATCGATATTATTGAAAACACACACCTATATCGTTATTGATTACTAATCTAGAATATTCTATGTATATAAACATGCATGTATAATTGTAGAGCCAGGAGAGGAATTTATCGAAAAGGATATTCTTTGCTCAATTATTTTGTGGTTTATAGATATCTGAATGAAAAAATAATATAATTTTCAAAATACCTTGCTATCATTATGAGTTAAGTCAAATACATAGGTCAAACTATTAAATGAGGAGCTGAGCACCGCATTGCACTGCACGCATTAACACACAACCACACAATACGGTGGGTGGGACAGAGTCGAAATTCTAAAAAGTATAACATGTAGGTGGAGAGAGAGACGCTGATTACTGAATCTTTGTTCATAGAGTCTGCACCCAACACGTGCAATAGGAATGATTCATCATTAATAGCAGAGATATGGCATGTAATATTACCAATCAAATCAAGAGATGAGAATTAATGCAATTATATAAACGAAGTTAGAAAGTTGTGTGAGTACCTTGATATGATTAGAAGCAGTATAACAACACTTTGAGGCTGTATCAAAATAAATTTTACGCACAGTGGAATTATACTCCACCACAGTGCACAAGTTTTCCTCTTATATCAGTGTTCTGAAGTCAGTCATAGGAATTCAAATAAATTGACATACTGAAGAACTAATCGTTGACGTAGCAGTTTAACAGAAGCTGTGATATGTTCATGAATGTTGCTGAAATTTAATTTTAAAATTTGCATAGAAAAAACACTTGGACAGGACAATATACACATTTTCACAGCTTCGTTCCTCTCCAGTATAAAAGAAATTTAGTGAAGACCCTCAGCCACAGAGTTACAGCAATATGCTCAGAGGAAGTAATTGAAGATGAATTAAGCATTGTATATGATACTTTGATCGAAAATAGCTATTCCGACAAATTTATCAAGAAACATATGACAAAGAAAGCGGAAAAGGACTATTCACTATCTATAAACAGGAAGCCACTTTATTTACGACTACAATTCATGGGCGATATACCAAGTGAGATAATTACGAAGAAATAAAGAAAATCAGTTGAAAGAACTTTTAATGCTGGCGAACTACACGTCTTATTCTCTACACAACCGACGGTGATTCCTTGATTGGAAGATGAAGTACCTAGACAAGTTAGCCACTTCTAATTGTATCTACAATATAACTGCGCTTGTGGAGCGAGTTATATTGGCCGTTGATCTAGGAACTTGATTTTTCGTGCTCGAGAACATCTCCCAGTATGGGTCAGTAAAGGTGTAGTGAAAACCATTAACAGTTCGATATTGGACCATCTGGTGCAAACCAGCCACAACTCAAGCCAGCATTGAAGAATCCTTCTCTGTAATCTACTGGGTGCCTAATAAATTGCCAAAATCATCGCAGCACCGCATGCTCTAAACAGCAGAGGCTATTGCAATTCGCCTCAAATAACCAGTGCTCTGTGTTCAAAAGAAGCAAGTCCAGCCTCTAATACTGCACTGGCCTTCAGTGGAGACTATAGATTCATGAATTTGTAATATTATCTTTCCTAATTTTTCTGGCATTCAGCTTATTGTTATGTTGATGCTACTGAGCTGTAATCTATCAATAATATTGATTCGATGTGATTTAAACAACATTAATGTTGTTCATAACACTAATTAATTCATTCACTACTATGTGTATGTATGACTGTAGAACCTGGTGAAGAGCAGGTTATCGAAAAGGGAACTCTTAGTTCATTCTTTTAAAATCAATCTGTTCTCACAAGCCGGATAACATCTTGGCCATTTGGCCTTTTTTTGTACTGATTCAAAAAAGCAAAATTAGTTAACCAAAAATCAACTGCAAGAAGTACCTGAGAATTAGGTAGAATATTCCTAACCAGTTGGTTGGGATAAAGAGCTCTGTCAGCAAGAATCCCGCACCAAATAATTCTTTCAAACAGTCTAATGTCAGAATGATTTTGACTAACTCAAACAACACATTATCAGTGTATCGCATAACCGCATTGAAAGCATTAAAATTAGAGACTAATTCGCGACAAAGACAAATAATAAGGATCGAGTCAACAGACAACATGCGAATGTTAGGGCAGTGATATACAGCCAAGAAGATATTATTATTATTGTTCCCTTGGGTTCCTAGTGGAACATAGGGCTTCAACTGCACGTCTCCACTTGCTTCTGTCTTCTGCTGCACTTTTCACCTGCATCCATGTTAGTCCATACTGTTTCAAATCCTCTTCACACGATTTCCTCTATGTCACCCTTGGACATCTCACTCGCCACTTCCCTTTCGGGTTCCACTCGAGCTACGGTCTGACGCGCGATGTCACCCAGTGGCCTCCTCAGCTCAGCGAGTGTCCAATCCATCTCCACTTTCTCCTGCATATTTGTTGAGCGATTCGTTCTTGTTTTGTTTGTTCTCATAGTTCCTTGTTGGTGATTCTTTCCGGCCATCTAATCTTCAGTATAGAGCGAAGACAGTTGTTGATAAAGGTCTGCAACAGGCTGTTGGAAATATTCTTTGTGACACACTAGCCAAGTTTCTGATCCGTATAGCAAAACTGACTTGACGTTTGTATTGAAAATCCGAATTTTGTTGTTGATGGTGAGTTGAGTGACGAAGATTTCCAGATTGGTTTCAGGTTGATGAATGTGTTTCTCACCTTCTCGATTCTCGATTTGACATCCTCGTTGGTTCCTCCTGTAGTTGAGACAATGCTCCCTGGATAAGTGAATGAAGTAACCTCTTTCAAATCCCTCCCGTTGATGGTGATTGGCGCTGGATATTGCTGTTGTTGTTGTTGTTGATTGGTTATTTTCATAACCTCCGTCTTGTCTATGTTCACCTGGAGTCAGTCCTGTCTTTGCTGTTTCTTCGACCAGTTTGTCGGTTTTCGCTTGTAAGTCTTGGATTTTGTGTGACATCAAACATAAATCATCCACGCGTGAAATCCAGGTCTTCTAGGTTCTTCACGTCGGTCCAGGATATCCCTGTCTTCTCGTTTCCCACTGTCTGACGCATAATCCAGTCCACCACAATTAGGAATATCATTGGTGATAATAAGCACCCTTGTCTGACTCCTGTGTTTACTCCAATCGCCTCACTGAGTTTTCCCTTGTGGATTACTTGACATGTGCCGTTGTCGTTCAGCAAAGAAGATAAGAGGAAAGTAATTACAAAGTTAGAATTAGATCGTTCAGGAGAGATTTCCAAACAATTGTTCAGTTATACTCGCTAAAATGTCCTATTAAATGCTTTAGAGAACTAATTTAATACTTCCGTTATATGAAACACTGTACTACAAGGAGTGCTATATATGAGTGAAGTTCACTCAAGTCTGAAATAATTCGATTGGTAGGAAGAATAACTAAAAAATTAAGGATAAGCCATAGATTTATTTCACTTTAAACTTTCGTTTACTGAACTCTATCAATTCACCTCTACAACCATTATGATATAAACTAACCATTAAGCTTCCAAGTTGGATCATATGAAAGATCATGGGATTATGAAAACATTACGTTGCTATTTAGCACATGATTTGGCATAAAATAGCCGGTAATTTCTACATAATTTTGAAGTCAGTCGACTAAACACCAAAACTAAACGTGTCATAAATATTATAATATTATTATTGATCCCTTTTTCTTTTGTCACAAGGAGACTCATTGTGTTGAAGTTTCTGTAGCAACCATGAACCGATTGTGCAAGAAATAAGCAGGAAGAAATGGAGGTTTATTGGCCATACTCTTAGAAAAAAACAATTAACTGACATCACAAAACAGGCCATCACTCGAGTGGAATCCAAATGGGAAGCAGTGAGTTGGTCGTCAGTGCGAGTGTGACATGGAGGAGGGCATGCAGAGAAGAGGAGATGAAAGCATGTGGACAGACGTGGAGCCAGGTGAAAACGTTAGCAGAGAATTGAACGCAATGGAGACGTGCAGTTGAAGCTCTATGTTCCTCTACGAACTAAAGGAAACAATAATAATAATTATCATTGATCCCTTGTATTTTCGAGTGAAAAATAGGACCTCGACACCACATCTACACTTCATCATGTTCTCTGCAATCCTCTTTAGCTGGTGCCACGATTCCCTATAGTCTATCATCTCCTCCATGTCACCCTCGGACCCACGTCCAACTCGACGCTTCACATTTGGGTTCCACTCAAGGGCTTGCCTATCGCACAATGTCCCCCAACGATCTCCTCAGTGTTTCTGTGTCCTATCCATCTCCCGTGTGCACAAATCAGTGCTTCTCCACCCCAATCGCTAAGGCATCGGTAATGCAAAGTATGCAGAAGCGTACAGTTCTTGGAAGGCTTCGTTTGATCTTCTAGATAACTTTGAATGAATCTTCGCTGTGACCAGTGTTGAATATGTGTTCAGCTGTAACACTCCTTACTGATCTACTGTTATCTTTTCTTAGCCAGGTGGGAAACTTTTCTTTGACTCTTTTGTATAAAACACTCATCGAACGATCTATATATCTGACTCAACAGGAGTAAGTGAATTGGTAGATACACACAGAAGTGGTCAAATGTGATAGTTTGGTTTTAGAGTTGTTGAAGAACATTTGGCGGCGAGAGAATGTCCTTTTCAGAGCGTTAGATATTGTCTTCCTTAGGATGTCGGTCAGAATGTCCCCTCTGAACCCCAAATTTAATAGGTTAGTCATCATTTATAATATTTTGATACGAAAAATATTTTGGTAGATTTGTAATCTAATATATAAATTTTTAATTATTAATATTAAAGCGTAAATTGTACTCACATGTGGACTTTATTTGAAGAAGCTTTGCTGAGTGCACATAAACAGTCAGAATGTGTTATGAAACCTGAACTCTATGCGAAATTTGTCAAGTATGCATTTTCAGTACAACCAAAAATCACTGAAGTGAGTAAAAGCATTTTCTTATGAAATAATTTGCTCAAAACAGTTGACATTTTGTGTGATTATATTTCCACAAACAATTTTTTCATCCCGTTCCCTATATCTTATTGAAGGGATTTATTACTTCTATGTACTAATAGGTTTACATTTGAAGGCGATTGTTTCCGCCAAGTTGATGGTGTTGCTATGGGAAGTCCGTTAGGGCCCCTTCTAGCAGATATTTATAAGTCGTACATTGAGAATTTATCGGAGGATTTAATCGAAAATGTGTGTGTAGATGATATTGTAATCATCAGTGATAAGTCTTGTTCTGCCACCTCAATTTTAAATCGAATGAATGAAGTTCAGAATAGCATATCACTTACATCTGTAGAAGAGGAAGATAATTGTTTATCTTTCCTAGACATATTGCTTAGTCAACGGCTTGATGGGTCAATAAAAAGATCTATTTATAGAAAACCTACCTGAAAAGGACAGTATCGTAATTATCACAGTAGTCAGCAGAACACCAAGACATCCACTCTCTAACTCGGCCCCAAGAAAGAGGTGTACATCAAGCTACCATATATGCGGCATCGTAGCAGCTTGATAACTAGACAAAGATTGAACGCTGCTGTTAAAAAGACTTTTTATGCAGCTAATATCATAATAATTGAGAATGTAAAGCCGATATATCAATCTAAGCCCTTAGAACATGAGGAAAATGACGTCACATCCCACTGTATTTACCAATTTGAATGTACGTGTGGACACACATACATAGGGAGGACTCATCGATCTCTGCAAGTAAGGGCTTCAGAGCATATTCCTAAATGGCTCCAGAAACAAATGGAATCTTCAGAACCTATTAATGGTGAGAACAGGAGACCTAGCTCCTCTATTGCGAAACATATTATAGAGACAGGATATAAAATTGACGGTAACACATCTTTTAAACCTATCTATAAAACGTGTTTGGGGCGTATCCTAAAGTTTGTGGAAGCCCTAGCAATTAGAAAGTTTAAACCACCTGTATGCGTTCAAATCAACAACTCGTCATCACACTAAACCTTCCTTGGTAAACTTTGTTTTGATACCAGCCAGAGTAGATGTACTATTACCTCTGCTATTTGGTTTAGTGGTCTTCATTGTTATTTTGACCTTCAATATGTCCTTTAAACTTGACCTAAGTTTATTTTCTCACCTCTTAACTCTTTAATAATTTCATATTACATATTCCTATGACAAGTCCGTGTGTGATCAGATTGTTCGAAATGTGTTGCGCAAATACACATTACACGATTCAGACAAATTACGTCTTCTTATTGCTTTGTCTAAATTCATAAAGGGAACTAATTGTTTTAAATAATTTATAAAATATACCCCTTTTGTACTATTTTATCAATAGTTTCTGCTTATTTACATAAAACTCTATATACTACTGATTGCTTGAGATGAGTAGTAGTTGTATACCGCTGTCATATCAACCAGTATATGAGTGGTGCCGAGCTCATCAGCAGTTTGCCCAGTTCGACTTAGATGAGAGAGCCGTCCAGCAAGCAGTACTAGTGGATATGAGCGAGTGGGATACAACTACTCATCTCAGTTATTCAGTAGTATGTAGTTTTACGCAAATATACTCGCCAGCTAGTGGAAAGATTCTCACTAAATAGAGTACCCTCGTGTCATTTCAAAAAAACCATACATACTAGATGAACTATTTTAGATGATACTGTAATAAGCTTATGGTATTTTATCATTTTTATAAGGCTGCTACTTTTCATTATCGCAAGGAAAGCAGATAACAGTAAAACAGATCTGAATTTCAAACACGTTGAAGTTAAATAATTATTATGCCTTCTTTGTCGAACAGTGATCTGCTTGAATCACTAGGCTAACTGAATTTCCAACCAACGCAGTGCATAATAATAATTATTACTATTATATTATTGTTTCCTTTAATTCCTAGAGGAATATAGGGCTTCAGACGCACGTCTCTACATGCTTTCATCTCCTCTTCTCTGCATGACCTCCTCCATGTCAGCCTCACACTGAAAACCAACTCGCCGCTTCCCATTCAGATTCCACTCGAGAGATAGCATGGCGTGTGATGTCACTTGATGGTCTGTTTTCTTAGAGTATGGCCAATACACCTCCAATTCTTCCTGCATAGTTGTTGCACAATCGGTTCCTGCTGGGTTGGTTCGCTCATTGTCAGAGATCCATTCCTGTTTCTGATTTTCTCTGGCAGCCATATGATCTTGAGTAGTATTGACCGAAGACAGCTGTTGTTGAAGGCCTGTAGTTTGCTCTAAGTGTCCTTCGTCACGCGGCGTCAAGTCTCTGATCCGTATATGAGTGGCAATAAATTGTGTTAGAAACGTCATCAGTAAATATTACTGTATAACACTGTGTGATTTATCAAAATGTATTGTATTCATAATGGAGTTACACTCTACTACAGTGTCCAAGATACATCCGTATATCGGTTATATTAATTAATAGATTTCGTATAAAAGGATAATCACTGCATGTAGGAATAGTTCATTCTTGGTGTCGTATTTTATGTGCAGTTCTGTGAAGTAAATTTATGAAACCTTAACACAGTATTAATTCGGAATCACACCAAGATAATGAAAGTAATGATCAGCACTGCATTACAGTTGGACTTTCAGATTAAATAATGCAAAAAATCAAAACAACATAAGGGAAAGGGGGAAATATCAGCATTTCCCTGGCTTGAACATAAATTATCTGTAATAACGAAAAGAAATTGAGCAGAGAATATCCTTTTCGATAATTTCCTCTTCTGGCTCAACAATTATGTATACAGAGAACATCCTATATTAGTAGTCAATAACAATTTTAGTGTTTTCTAAATGATATCAATTTGTTAAGTAAGTTCAATGGAATTACAGTTCATTAAAGATGCTTAAATTATAATAAGCATACAAATGTAATAATAGCAAATAGAATATCAAATTAAATTAAGGAACTTTCCACAACGAATTGGGGATCAATTAAACCTTAATGGCTAAGGTGAGAACAGTGTCTGAACCAACTTCTTTTGGATACATAAGTTAGTCTTCTTAGTGCGGATCCCAATGGCCTCAGTAATATTTAGTAAACGAACTCTTTAGGCGAAGTTAAGATTTGTTGATATGTGGTAAATGACTTTGAAAGCCACCTCGTTAACATCAATCTTGTGTTCTGTATCCACAAGATGTGGTAGAATAGAGCTATGAATGGATTTTGTTTGTCCTTTACTTAACCACTGTGCAGGATGGTGTTCGGAAATCCGACGAGATGTTATTGAGAAAAAAACCCACATTGTGATTGACGACTATTCTAGGATAATCCATGTATATAAACATATATATATAATTGTAGAGCCAGAAGAGGAAATGATTGAAAAGGATATTCACTGCTCAATTTTTTTGTTTATTCTAGGTGTCTGAATGACTATTTTCGCTTTATCTGTAAAACGTTGTTTTTAAAACAAAAACTCAACTACCTGTGTTTACACGAACAGTACTAAATCAATATTTGTATTCAATTGCACATTGGCATGCATAAATTATAATTATCATAGAGTGCCAATGCACCAATCACCTTGAATGGATACTATTTTTTGGTGAGCAGAACCTGCTGTGCACTACGCATCAAAAAGCCGTTTATTTAACATAATAATAATAATGATAATTCAGACAAAATAAGTGACGCATCGGTATGAAGAACAAGTAGTCCTTGTAACGTTTGTTTAACATTTTCGATATGTGACTTTGTAAGACGAACAAGATTAGAGATATTTGGTTGTAATTTACTGAATTTCAAAGTTTTATAAAATTGCCTTGGGAAGGAATGATTTTTAATACATAATTCATAAAATTCCAACGTGTTACGTTCGACGATAATGTTACACCTTAGGTAAGACATGCTTTCACTACTCTCAAGTCTGTGTGGAGGTCAACAACTCTCAGCATCAAAAATAAGATCCAGATTTTCAACTCCAATGTGAAGTCAGTGCTACTCACTATACGGATCAGAGACTTGCACTGCGCGTCGTAAAAAGCATCTCAAACAAACTGCAGACCTTTATTAACAGTTGTCTTCGCTCAATACTCAAGATCAGATGGCCAGAAAAGATCAGCAATAGTGAGAGATCTCTGGGAGCGAACCAACCCAGCAGGAACCGATTGTGAAACAAATAGGCAGAAGGAAATGGAGATGGATTGGTCATACTGTGAGGAAACCAGCGAGTGACATCACTAGACAAGCCAGTGATCGAGTGGAATTTGAAAGGGAAGCGGCGAGTTGGTCGTCAGTGTGAGGGTGACTTGGAGGAGGTCATGTGAAGAGGAGATGAAAACGTGTGGGCAGACATGGACCCAGGTGAAGACTCTAGCAGAGAACCGAACTCAATGGAGACGCACGGCTGAAGCCCTATTTTCCTCTAGGAATTAAAGGATACAATAATAATTACAAAGGTTAACAAGTTCATTTAACCTATTGTTAGTGTGTGGACGGAGCTTTCTCTTTAAAGTTATTAATAATATGCCACATGAAATTTCTTCAGTTTTGTAAAGATGTTACTCAGAAAACGAAGACAAAAATATACAAAATAAGTTGAATAGTTCAATTGATGATCGAAACCGCGTAGATCTTTATCCGGTGAATCCTGATAAGTATGTTACACATCTTTCAGATATTACTCTATCTACTTATCAGAAAGAAGCTTTATCCCTTGAACTCAAATTTTGTGTTCCTCACACGCAATTTACGGATTTAGCGATCCATGCTGAGTTTGAAAACTTATACGACCAACTCAAACCTCTTGCCGTAACATCCGATGCAGATCGGGGTTGGTTTAAGACCAAGATGGTGGATACAGCTCACCAGTATTTGAACAACAACCCAAGGGAGAAAAGTATTTCAAAGAATTCCCAGCATTTCAAAGCCTTGAAAGAGCTACGGGAAAATTGTAATATGACTTCATTTCCATAGCTGCACAATAGACAATAACAATCTGTTTTCTAGTGTGTGTGTGTGTGTTAAAGTTTGACAGTGAGTGGAAACATTGAAGTGTGATAATATTGCTGTATAGAATGTTTAGTCACAATTGACTACATGTGTGAATGAATAACTAAATGAATAGATAGAGGTCAACCTAAAGTTCAATAGACAAGTGGGAAATAGATGATCGGAAAATAAATTAAAGTACATTCGGGAAACTTACGGAATCCTTCGAAGAGAGGACAGGAGTAAGAACAAGGCTGATTGCAGTAGACTGGATAATGCGACAAACAGCGGGCAATGAGGAAACAGGCATAAAATGGACTCACACAAAAAACCAACTTGGAGGATCTGGACTTCGCCGATGATATATGTCTGATTTCCCACAAACTGGAAGATATGTAAGTGAAAAGCAACAAGTTGACAGAAGAAGCATCCAGAGAAGATAGGACTTCAGGTGAACATAGATAAAACAGAGGTGATGAAGATTCCTGGGCATGAACAACAACAACAGACAACGATCAGCGAGCATAAATGGGAGGAACCTGAAAGAAACAACTCCTTTTACCTACCTAACTTGGAAGCATCGTTTCAACTACAGGCGGAACTGACGAGGATATCAAAGCAAGGATCGGAAAAGCAAGACAAGCTTTCACTAATCTCAAGTCTGTGTGGAGGTCAACAACACTCAGCATCAAAAATAAGATCCAGATCTTCAACTCCAATGTGAAGTCAATGCTACTTGCTATACGGATCAGAGACTTGCACTGCGCGTCATAAAGAGCATTTCAAACAAACTATAATCCTTCATTAACAGTCGTCTTCGCTCAATACTTCGTTCAAGATCAGATGGCGAGAAAAGATCAGCAACAGGGATCTCTGGCAATGAGCGAACCAACCAGGAACCTATTGTGAAACAAATAGGCAGGAAGAAATGGAGATGGATTGGCTGGCCATACTCTGAGAAAACAAACCATCAACTGACATCACACGCGAGGCCATCAATCGAGTTGGAAGTGGTGATTTGGTTGTCAGTGAGAGGGTGACATGGAGGAGATCATGCAGAGAAGGGGAGATGAAAGCATGTGGCCAAACCTGTAGCCAGGTGAAAACGTTGGCCAAGGACCGAACGCAATGGAGACGTTTGGCTGAAGCCCTATGTTCCTCTACGAATTAAAGGAAACAATAATAATAATAATAACATTCGGAAATGTGAATATAATATGATGGAAACATAGGATGAGTGAAGTTTTGTTAAAGTAGTGGACTAGATAAAATGTTAGAATATGATAACATAAAGTAAAATGAAATGCAACAAAAATGGAACACGGAATAAAAATAGGATAACAAAGTTGTTATGTGAATTACATAGTAAAGACCATGGTAAAGTACAAAATTGGTTACAGGATTTCATCATGAGCTCACATTGGTTAGAGAACTATTGAAAAACCTGCAGGGAGTACTAGACAGCTGTTTCGGCCTAGTTTTGGGACTCTTCAGAAGTATGCACCCTCCGGGGGTTCGAACCCAGGACCTTCTGGTTATAAGGCGAGCTCGAAGACCATTAAGCTACCGGCAGAAGTTAGGATTCACTGGATATTGGGTCGCTTCCCAGTGGCTTAATGGTCTACGACCTTGCCTTATAACCAGAAGGTCCTGGGTTCGAACCCCCGGAGGGTGCATACTTCTGAAGAGTCCCAAAACTAGGCCGAAACAGCTGTCTAGTACTCCCTGCAGGTTTTTCAATAGTTCTCTAACCAATGTGAGCTCATGATGAAATCCTGTAACCAATCAACTAAATCCCTACAAACCAATACTTAAAGTACTAAATTGTTTTGTACACAAAGTTCTGGCTTTATCTTATGTATTGCTAAAACCTCTGCTATACAAAGCAAGTGCACTCGTGCTCCTTCCGATAAACTCTGTCAGACTCTGTAGATATATTGAACGATGTGTCAGATGCTGCGCGGTCATTATCTACAATATGTTGCAATATGGATGAATTAATACCTCTACGCTCCACTGCTTTGCCCAGGCAAACTGGAAGGCTTGGCAGGATATGTTTCTCGACAAACGTCCTATGTACCTAGCTCCACAAGAGCAGGCGATCATATAAATACACATGGAATTAAACAATCAAAGTAACACTTCCTTGACATTAAGGTGCACCAGTAGACGGCTAGATTAGGTTATTCGTTAAGTGACAGTAAACAACGTTTTTCTCAGTGATCTGGTCAGAAGATTTTTAAGTCTTTCACTAGCAATGTCACCCCTATATGCAAAGTTTAGGTGCACCACTTTTTTAGCTACTTTACCAATCTCTGTATTTCTCGCACATACTTTACTATTGGCCTCTATGAAGCGTAGTGGATACCCGTTCTCTATGAAGGCTTCTTTCATTTGTTTGAATTCACCATCAACACTGTCTTCACTGCAAACTCTCCCCACCCATGTGTTGAGACAGAACGGATTAGATTCCTTTTTCTGTCTGTGGGGACAAAAGCGTAAAAATTGATCAGTTGTCCCGTCCACTTCGATTTTCTGTAAGTAGATCTTTTCAAAGACCCATCGGCTCTCCTTGTGAGTAGCACATCAAGGAGAGATTTTTTTCCCTTGGTTTCTTTTTCAAAAGTAAACTGGAAAGCAGGATGTCATTCAATTCGCAGTTCTCGTCACATATAATGAACGTGTCATCCACGTATCTTTTGTAAAAGGTAAGCCCTTTTATACCAGGTGTGAGAGTACTGCTCTCCATACTGGCCAAAAAGAAGTCTGCTAGCAACACACCAAGTGGCGAACCCATAGCTACTCCATCTCTCTGTCTATAGATTTCATTGTTGAAAAGAAATTGGACACTCAGAGTACAACGAAGGATTAGCTATTTTAGGTAGGATATGGGAATTCCTAAGTTAACATTATGTGGGTCTATATAATTACAAATGAAGCAAACAGTTTCATTTAATGGAACATTGGTAAGGCGTGAGCATTTATCAAGTGATTATATAATTTTCCCAGTAACATTAATATCATTAACGAAATTTTCAAATTTGTATGACACTTTTGAATACGACTGTACAGCCATGAAAATGAAATCGTCGACAAGAGAATTTTCTTCGCTGAATTCTTTGTTTTTATATCTCATTGAGGATTATTATTTTAATTAAAAATACAAATACGAATGATAATCGAACACCTTAACCCTAATCTTAACCACAACCCTAACCAAAACATGCAAACAAATCACTGTCCAAACAGAACTTAGAAACGAAATGAAGATAAAATTTGCACATTATTTCGTGTACAGCGTTCACACTGGCACTGTAATAACCACTGGTTCTGTAATCCAATGAATACTGTGCGTTCAAGATCACTGGTGCGTTTGCACTCCACAGTGGTCGCTATTCTTTAGGTTGATGTGAACATCTTTAATACTGATGCATTTTAATGTCTTGTACTTCAATTTATAAATGCCATATTTCAATAATAACAATAATAACAGGCTTCTGTCAAATAAAAATCTTCTCTTTTAATTTCCCTTTTAAGCAATATTTCCATTCTCAAGTCATCGACGTGGTTCGTGGAATGTGCAAAAATCTTCGAGAATGCTACACTTTGGAACGAACTTTTGCAGGTTAGTTTTATCAAAGTAATGTCAACATTTGACTGAAATCGGAATGTTTCTTTTTCTACCGCATTTACCTCTGAACAGATTCACCAGAATTTATGGTGAACAGCATAAAGTAAAGCCCACAATTTTACTACAAACGTGACAAAATGGGTAAAGTTAAACTTTAAGCACCATTAACTACCAATCAGCGAACGACCTTCAGTGAACCAATCACACGAAAGAGGCATTTTTGGTAATGTAAAATATGTATATATGAAAAAAAAATGCACAAACACTTCATAAAAATGTTTCATAGGATATCTTTCTCTGATATGTGGTAAAAACGTCTCCCATTCGAGCATAGGAGTATCAACTGGAAAGTTACACCACCGTCTATACATACATTCATCCAAATGACTATAAATGACATGCTTTTGTGATCCATTAATGGCCCTAATCCTGTTTTCAATCTTCCCAAAAAGGCTTGTATGGAACTGACCTGTGTCACTGTAATGGGATCAACAAAATCATTAGAATGGTTCACTCTGTGGTGAATATTTCCAAGGGATGACAGGGAGTTATAACCTTTCCACTTATCCAAGTGTACAACGACACTTTCACCTCCTTTTCCTCCTCCTAATAACGAAGTAATTCTCTCCATTTTTTATGACACGATATCTCTGCAGTGCTGGTACCACTGAACTGTTGACACGAGACTATTTTCTCTGTTTCAGTAGCTACACGTGTCACAGGCTGTTTTAAAACCCCGTAACTACAAATATCCGAAATCTGCGTGAAGGACAAGTGGGACCTGGCGAAAAATGTACGTACGAAATATTAGATTCGTCAGCCGACATTCCCTGACATTTGACTCGAATCAAGCGGAATATAAAACTTCAACTCACGTGGATGAAACTCGTTGGGCCATTCAAGGTCATTTGCTGATTGGTAGTTAGTGGTGTTTAAAGTTTAACGTAGCCACAAAATGAAATTAGATCATTTGTACGGTGAATCCTACGAAATAAACTTCAGAACAGATCATATACCTATTACAAAACTTTAGTAAAGTGGTGAAAGGACATAGCAGTGGTGTTTTCATACACCTCTTTAACAAATTTGGCTCGGAGTTGCAATAAAACCAAAACAAACAGTTTACTCAGCTTCTGAACACCTAAATAGTGTTTTAAGCAACTGGTAGCGGTTATTTCAGCAAAACTTGAAGCGAACTGAATTACAATGTCTATTGCCAATTTTAAAGGAATTTAATTGTGTCCTACCAATGGCCCAAATCAACAAGATGTATAGTAATAGCATTACTGAAAGCGTTTGTTGCCTTGACACCTTGCCATTTTTGTAAATGGTGGATGGCTGGAGGCAGTCAGCGGGAAGCCTTAATTGACACTAAGGTTTCGTGCTAGTTGGCACTTATCAGCCAGCAAGGAATATCTGTAACCTACAAAGAACTCATATCCCTTCTGAGATTCAAACCCGCGATACCCAGTGAGAGCTGCAGTCAGGGACGTTACCACTAAGCCATTAGAGCTCGCGAGTCTCCGGTGTCCAATGAAAGTATCCAGTACAGTCCTACAGGAGGTCAATCGCGAGCTCGAACAGCTCATTGGTAACGTCTCTGAGTGCATCACTGGGTGACGCCGGTTCGAATCTCAGAGGGGAGGGACATGAGTTCCTCCAAGTTTACAGACACGACTTGCTGACTGGTGAGTGCCAATTAGCACGAAACCTAGGTCGAAGGCTTCCTGCCGATTGCCTCCAACTATCTAACATCAACAATTCAAAGTGCACAGTGACGGCAAGCCACCTGGAATGGTGGCCACATTGCAAACCTGACTCAGAGAATTCAGCCTGCACTAAACAAAGGACTAGACACATCACACTCCTTACTAGTGTCCAATAAGGGTATATGTTCGTAAAATTGAAAGTATGCACCTCTTTCTGTTCTCCCGATGTAATGTAAACATAGGTACCTGTTAATTTATACAGACAAATAGTGCTGTAATAAGAAGGGCATCCGCTGGCCCTTTATTGCACCAAAGAGCTTATTGCTTTGTAAACAAGAACCAACTTGCCTGCAGGAAGGCTCTCGTTAATGAAGCATTTAATCTTCTGTTCACCATAACCGTATAACTATCATCTTTGAAATCGGGTTGCACAGAAATAAGCTTCTTGTTCACAGTTGATAGTGTTTTATTTAAATCTTCAGATCTTCCGTACCTGTTAATAAAGTTGAGAGTAACCATTATTCTCTCAAATTCTTCTCAAGAATCAGAAATTTCTCCATTTACTTAGTAGAGCATATTATAATGGCTCTGTGTAATACAGGTTTGACTAATCGCCGTTTAGAGCTAATTGGACAAATTATAAAAATTGTAGTATTGTCCATTCATTTCATACATACTTTGTTTTGAAGATTCGAAATAGAAAATTTCATCTAGCATATGATAGTCGAACCATTGACTACGTCATTACAGAATCTAGCTTCCGTTCTTGATTTTTAAATTGGACATCTTGTTGATTCACGGTGAAATTTTGTGATTTGTGGAGGACTTTCAAGAGAAGCTAACATTTTGCATGTATGTAGTGACTTGATGAGTTAACAAGGGATGTGGTGAGACTGGAAGTCCACAAAGATCCATTCATCTAAAGTCTACGTGTCGTGGACAGTAATTACATTTATCTGTTTATTCAAATTCATAAAGAAGAATAAGTGTATGAAGCATCTTCTAGGAATCATTAATTTAAAAAACGTCATACTAATCTTGATTGATTCCACAACAAAGAAGACAGTAATTCCATATTAGTTTGTTTATTAGATATATCACACAGCCAGTGAAACAGTATTATTTACTGGATGACACAGTTTCGAACACAATTTATATTATTGTTCATAATCATTTCATCAATTATTATCATACGACTTCGAAACTTTAGTTTTATAGTTTTCTTTATTCTCTCCTATTTGTCATCGTAGAGGTAGTATAATTTTCCAGATGTCCAGCTGGACAGGTGTTCAATCATTCCTATTACACGTGTTTGCAGTTGATTTGATAATTAAAACTTTCGTTATCAATCTCTCTCTCCATGGAGCTGCTACATTAGATTTTAAAACTGTCATCTTATCCCATCCATCCTATTGTATGGTTGTGTGTAATTGCATGTAGTGAGTGATATAGCTGAACTATTCTCTAGATTTCTTATCTTTTCGGGTCAACTAATCTAGACCGCATCTGTTACACTACTTTGACCTATGTATTTGACCTGGCAGTCATTGCAGGCAGGGTGTTAGATAAACTAAGTTGTTTTGTTTTAAGGGCTCCACAGGATGCTTTAACTTACATTCATAGGTCAAAGTAGTAGAACAGTGGCATTCAGACTAGCCGAACATAAAATCCTAGCAAAATCTAGATCAGTTGACCCAAATAAGATAAGAAATCTGGAGAATAGTTCAGCTATAGCACTCACTACATACAATTACACATAACCACCCAATAGGACGGATGGGATGAGATGACAGTTTCAAAATCTAATGTAACAGCTAGGTGGAGTGAGAGACTGATAACGAAAGTTTTAATTATCAAATCAACTGCAAACACGTGTAACAGGAATGATTCCACACCTGTTCAGGAGGACATCTGGCGAATTCTACTACGCCTACGACGACAAATAGCAAGGAATAAAGAAAACTGTAAAACTCAAGTTTCGAAGCCGTATGATTATAATTGATGAAATGATTATGAACAATAATATAAATTGTGTTCGAAACTGTGTCATCCAGTAAATAATACTGTTTCACTGACTGTGTGATACATCTAATAAACAAACTAATATGGAATTACTTACTACCACAGTGTCCAAGTTTTATGCATATATTAAAGAAGAGAGGAATTAGGATTGTGCGAATCGGTTACTGGTTTTCGTTCCTGATGTCACTGCACATGACTAATTTCCTAAGGAAACGTATATTATGACAAAATTCTAGTTAAATCATCTATTCCCTAATTAGTTAACATTTTACAATGTGCACAGTTTAAGGGATGAAATGTTCATCACAGTTTCTCCCGGAAGTCACATTATTCAGATCACCCCTGTATGTGATCTGCTGGATACCATAAATGGCAATCAAGAAAGCAAGCATATTTGCATAAAACGATATACTACTCGTTGTTTGAAATGAGTAGTCGTTTACCACTCATGTCAACCAGTAATGCTTGCTAGCCAGGTAATCTATACACAACACTATCTTTTCACTCGTTTGGTTCTGAGCTCAACAGTGCTGTACCCGATTTCGACTCAAATTATTAAACCGAATCAGTTCAAACCACCTAATATCATCCATCAGACTGTGTATACAATATATTGCTAACTACTTCATTGTTATTATTGTTTCCTTTAGTTCCTAGAGGAATATAGGGCTTCAGCCACACGTCTTCATTGGGTTCGCTTCTCTACCAACGTTTTCACCTGGATACATGTATGCCCACATGCTTTAATTACCTCTTCTTCGCATGACCCACTCCATGTCATCCTCACATTGAAAACCAACTCTCCGCTCCCCATTCGGGTCCCACTCGAGTGATTGTCTGGTGTGTGATGTCACTCACTTGATGATTTGTTGTCTCAGAGTATGGCCAATCCACTTCTATTTCTTCCTAAATATTTGTTGCACAGTTGGTTCCTGCTGGGTTGGTTCGCTCATTGCCAGTGACCTTTCCCTATCGCTGATCTTTCCTGGCCGATCATATGATCCTGAGTAATGAGCGAAGGCAGTTGTTGATGAAAGTCTATAGTTTGTTTGAAGTGCCCTTCGTGACGCAGTGTTATGTCTCTGATCCGTATAGTAGCACTGACTTCACATTGGAGTTGAAAATCCGGATCTGGTTTTTCATGCTGATTGCTGTTGATCTGTCTCCATACAGACTTGAGAGTGATGAAAGCTTGTCTTGCTTTCTCGATCCTCGCTGCTTTGATATCCTCATCAATTCTGTCCGCCTGTAGTTGAAACGATGCTTCCCAGGTTAGTAGGTAGGTAGGTGAAGGAGGTTGCTTCTTTCAGACTTCTCCCATTTATGCTGGCTGTTTGTTGTCTGTTGCTGTGGCTGTTACTGTTGGCCAGTAATCTTCATCACTTCTGTTTTATCTATGTTCACCTGAAGGCCTATCTCCTCTGGATGCTTCTTCTGCCAGCTCGTTGCTTTTCACTTGCATATCTTCCATTTTGTGGGAAATCAGATACAAATATATCATCGGCGAAGTCCAGATCCTCCAAGATGTTCTTGTATGTGTCCATTTTGTGTCTGCTAACTACTTTCGCAATTGTGAATTTCCCTCATGGTGTCACTATTTCGCCTAAGTAGCTCGCGAGAAAGCAAAAATGTTTGAAGACAGGCCGATAGAAGAAGTGACAGTTGCTTTTAACCAACTGTTTTCCTCCTCACCACCAAGAACTTTGATATCTAGAAGTGTTATAAGGGAAACCTAGTATGTATATAAATATCCAACTATTGGAAAAAAGTGAAACACTTTTGTAAAGCACCTAAATAACGTTATGATGATTTAGAATGCCACTTTCATTCTGCTGTACATCAAAAATCTGATGACGCAAATAATCAGAGATGATTCTCTGAAGTATTTGAGATAAGTCTTAAGAAGTTTAACATAGCGATTGACAAATATTCATACCTGTTAGAAAAAAATCTTACTTTATCTGGAAACAAAACTGCACAGTCTAACTTTAATTATCAGTAAACTAAAGAGTTTGCCTTTAATTGTATTCCTTAAGTAAGGCATTCACAAAATCTCTTGTTTTAATCAATTTATTTTATTCCTTTAGGATTTATTCTTGATGAAATGAACTGGTGTAATACCAGTTTAACAGGAGATCTGCACTATGGAACTATTTGTGGTTGCAATTCAAAGAGTAGAGTTATTGGAGCTTACTGGGATGCAGCTTCTGAAGAGGTGGGTAAAACTTATTTCAAACTTATTATTATTTGTTATCATTCTACCCTGGTTACCTAATAATATTTATGCAAACACCGAAGAAAAATTCGACACGTGAAATACTTTTTTCTCACATAAGAGTAGAACGAAGACATTATGGTTGTGAATAGTTGCCTGTTATCAAGTGTTAGTTTGTAGGTGGCACAGTGGTTAGCACTCTCGCCGATCATACACGTGGTCCAAGGTTCAATCCCCCGCCGATGCACAGCTGATATCTATGGTCGGCCTGCTAAATTTGGGCTACCGATATCACATGCTGAAAATTTAATACTTGCACCAAAATACTGTGTGGAATCAAGCTCTAATAAAATTTAAAAAAATAAAATTAACTTGATCATGAATTGATATCATGAATCGGTAGAAATTGAAATTCACCAGCTGGCTATTGAATCATGTCCCAGTGGCGGAATGGTCAACGAGTTTGTGGGTACGTACTGCCAAAGAGTTCCAAACTGGGACGAAACAACTTTTCAGTACTCTGTGGTTTTCAGTGGTTCTCTAACTGATATCGCCTCATGGATATACTTGAAATAATTCTCTGTTACAGGATTTCATCATGAGCTGACATTAGTTAGAGCAAGGGTTCGAATCCCGGTGGATGCGTACTGATGAAGAGTCCCAAACTAGGACGAAACAGCTGTCCAGTACTCCCAGGTTTTCCAGTGGTTCTCGAACTAATGTCAGCTTATGATGAAATCCTGTAACCAATCAAATCCCTACAAACCAACACTTGAAATAATTCTCAGTTAGTTTGTATTTTTTGCCGTATTGCACAGTGATGTAGTGATATTCAATAAAAGACGTTTCAAGGAAGATTGATTCCGTATACTCATGGTGAAGAAATAACGCAAAGCTCAAAAAAGGTTTTTATGTTTATTCAGCGCCATGTTGTTGACGTCACGATCACTATATGTCACATTTGATAGATTAAACGATTTCAGTTACTTGATTCTACAGGATATTTCAATCTAAGTAGCTTTGTCAATAATCTTACGTAAAGTTCTCGATATCTCCTCTTTATGTATGTCAGTACTACAGAGACTCTGCAGTACATCTTGTCAGAATTCCAACTATCCATTCTCATGTCCCCTGAGTGAAAATACACTGATAAGTTATCTATGTCCAAACCAAGTTCACTTGTAACAGTTGGAAAAAATTTGGGCATTGGGTATATGATATTCATTATAATAAAGGGTTCTTTTTGTATTTCCCAATGAATGAAAGACAAAACGATATTGGTGCTTTTACTGACGTTTCGCTATTTAATGCTTCTAATAGCCTTATCAATGTATTATTAAACCAGAATTGAGGAAATCCACTCACCTTATATATAACAACTTAATCATCGTTCCTCAGCATGGGGCCATTTTTCTGTTGTCCAACTGGCCACTCGGTAAAGATAACAAAACCAGGTGTAGACTGTTGGATTGATATGTGTGTAAGATTATAAAAGCAGCGTGTGTTTACATAATGAAATTGCTTATAACATCCGTATTGATTTTTTCATTTCGTGGGGAGAGGAGTGTTGTAACCAGGTCAAATTCTGTTTTAGTTCATCATTCCTCTTCAGACAATTTGGATTCCATTTGATATGATGAAGTGCTTCTGATGATATCAGACGTTCTTTGTTATTTCTGAAATTTTTTCTGGATTATTTCAATATGGTCAAAATCAATTTTGTGGCCTGATTCTAAAGCGTAGCGTGTAGACGACCTATGGCTGATGATTTTTCAAGCTTTTCTAGTTTAACTGGATTTCTCAGTGTTCGAACAGATGCTCTACGCTGTTCATTTCTTCTGATTTTGATTTCTCTCTGGTGAGGTTTTTCCGATGTATATTGCATCACGTTTCAAGCATTTTGTTTTGTAGACACAATCAGATACAGAATATTTAGGGATTTGGTCTTTTATATAGAGAAGGTTGCCTCGTAGCGTGTCCGATGTTTTGAAAAAAACTCTGATGTCGTGCTTATTGAGTACTCTCCTGATGTCCTCTGATGTCTCTGATCTCTATGGAATGACAACTGTTGAGCCCCATGTTTTCGGAATACCTTTTTGACCGTACTTAATGTCAGCGTTGATTTTGTTGATGAAATCCTTTGGGCATTTATTTTGTTTGAGAGTCTCAATAATGTTTTCTCATCCGTTAGCATCAAAGAGTGCGCTTGTCTAAGAAGACTTGAAACAATTGATACTTTCGAGCTGATGGGGTTTGATGACCCGAAGTCAAAATATTTGTTGGAGTGTGTTTTATTCCTGAATATTGGACATATTAAAACATCTATTTTTTTACCTTATTAGCTAGGCAGTCTAGAAAAGACAGCTTATCGAAATGTGATTCTGCTACCGAAGTAAACTGGATGCTGGGAGATAGACTGTAAAAACAATATCTTTTTTCATTCACTAGGAAATGCAAGAATAACCTTTATTATAATGAACACTGAAAAGTTATTTCACACCTACTTGTAACACATCTAAGATTTTCTTGCGTAATGGTGAATAGGTTAACTAGTGGGGCCTAGAATATCTATTTCTCATGGCTGCTGTACTATTACGTCCATGTTTCCATATCATCTACAATAAGCACCACCATATGTGCACATTGGTTTTATTAAAGCTCTTATCAAAGGCGCAGACGTGGTACGTTATGTGAACTGAGAGATGTGCCACACAAAAATAATTAAACAACAATTTATATGGAAAATAAGAATAGAATAAATGAGGGAGGTCGTCCGGAAATCAAGAAGGAACATTCAATCATTCTAGAAAATAAAATAAACTGAGACATGTTCACCACTGACTACAATTATTGGCCAAATCTAATACTGTCTCGAACCACTGATTGGAACTGTCACTCAGACCCCACCTAGGAAGTTCTGATGTACTAATAGATGATGACCTAATAGAGGTATCCTTGATTCTATGACGCTGTGTCATAGACTGGTCACCTCTCCGCCTTCTCCATTCAGTCTTAGGACTAGAGAACATTGACAGGTAAGTGAGCCTCTGGGATAACATTTGTAGCACATTCCTTAAGCAAAGAAGTAGCTGTTTCAGGGTGACCGCACTCTATGAAATGTGACCATCATCGTATAGAAAGATACGCTGCTGGATATCAGTGGACACAAGTAATTCTACGGAGGCAGTGCTGACCATCTCACACCCTCATTCCGGAGAAGCAAGGTTTCACAGGCTTAGAGAAAAACTGGGCGTGCAAAAGCACTGTAAGCCTGACCTTTGAAAGTCAAGCTGACGTCTCGAAGATTTGTTAGGTGGCCCAAATTGGCGTATGCTTTTATTTCTTGGTTAAAGACCTCATCCTTCACATCTCCACTAGCCCTCACATGACTACCTAGATATATGAACTTGAAGACAACGTCATGTGGTTTACTTGCAGGAATGAGTGCAAGTACAAGTTCCTGCCAACCCTGAGACAGTACTTTGAACATAGCAGAAAAACATACGATACTTACAGACACTGATTTCAAACCTACTAAATGCGATATGCGCGGCCATTACGTTATTCTACAGTAAGACGATATACTCTTACAACGGAACACAACGATTGCTGGTATGAAATTGGAGTGACGGTATTCTAGCCACTGATGAAGGGAGAACACATGATCAATCCATCCACGGCCTGAATAAAGTACGGTCTGCTCCTAGAAAATCAGTTTCTTACTTGCTTTGCACAGCCTGCAGAGCAAGACAGCATCCTATATTCCAGACGCAACTAGCGGCGAAAAATACCCCTGTGGCTGTCACACACGCTAAACAGTGCTTTTTCAAAGGTCAATGTAGCAATGGCTTCATTTCACATTCGTGGAATATTTTAGTGTATTTCTGAACCATCTAGTAAATTCCCTGAAGAGAATTTCGTCACCACCTTCCTTCGTTTGGTTGGTGGGTATTGACCTACAATAAAGCATTGTAGTTAATGATGTTGGATACCAGCGCTGTTGGTCAGCTTAACTATCTCTCGAAGTCCTCTCCCCAGGGTTCCAGACGACGTTTCACACACGAGAGCACTGCACATGTTGTCATAATCGCTGTCGGTTGGAACAGATCCATGGGAGGCTGCAAGGACCTCGCAAAATCTAGTAGATATTGCTAGAGCATTCCTTTTAGTCGCGAGTGCTTTTACTGGTCATTATAATAATTTGCAGGTGTAGCTAGTAATAATCCATACTGTTTGGAGAGGGACTAGCTAGCCTTGAGTTTGAGTCGGTTTGGTACTTCGCAGGAGTAGTAGGTGCTTCTGGTTTACTTACAGCAACCTGTAGTGGATGTCGTTCACGCTCACCGGTAGATTCCAAAATCAATCTGACAAACAATAAAACGTAAGTGGAGTCCAGACATGTGGTTCAGAAGGACAGAGAGTCCCGTGTGCATTCTCGTTATGGGAAACTAATTCCAAAGTGATCAGTCCTAGTTCAGACTTGGTTACCAAAGACAGAACGCCAAGCAGAGGTACTGATATGCCTGTGCCACAAGTTGGTGCTGGCTATTAATAGACTGTGACCTATAGAAGACAGTCCCTGTTATTTGACCTTTTACCATGGAGATCCATCTCTTGCCGAACTTAGACGCTCAACCTGTACAATGAAATCCCAAGCTAGCACTGCGGTATCACTTTAACATGCCTGCTTCATAAGCTTGGTCAGTCGATAGTAAAATTTGTCTTTAAATGCATCCAGGTAGTAGTCCGTCGGTGCATAGGCACGTATGACAATTTGACACTACCTCTCTGACTATTCACTTCTAACTTTGATATAACCTTCTGAGCCAAAGGACATAAACAGCTGTTAGTGGAGATCCAGCCGAGTAATCAGGCTTCTGCTCTTCAGCGCTTATTACGAGACCCACACTAGCTAGGCCAGATATCATCTCCATGAGGTCTCAAGATAAGATAACCCCACCATGTGGGGCTACAGACGAAAAGATATCCAAAGCACCTCACTGTGATCTCGAATACGTGTGTCTGAAGTGCACCAGGCATCTATAGCAAGACTTTCTAGTCTTCTGGCCTGTCCCGCCTGTTTCCCTTTTTGGCATCAGTGTGCAAATATTGCAGGTGGCAACCTTGAATGTGATATGTAGTTTCAGGATTATATGCCTGACTGAAGATCAGCAACAACTCAAAACTTCACAGATAGGTTGATATTTTTTCTTACAAAACTGAAAGACTCAAGAAAGTGAAGGGTTAAGGCTTGTAAAACTAAATACAAAGGTCTGCCTACAAAACAAAGCTAAAACGGGACACGTTGCTAAGAACATGACTGAAGATCTAGTCTGTAACACTAAGCCCGTGATCATCGTTTCTTGTTGACTGCTGTTTCATAATTTGTTCGATGACGACCAGACCGAATCATCTGGTTGTCTTAAAGAGCAAAACGTTCAAACTTTGATCTGAAGTATAACATAAAAGACAGTGGAGTAGCATCAGCCGATGTGTCTCCATAATTGCCAGTAACCAAACTTGGTTCCTATGCCATTCTATAGACCATGTGTGCCGTATATTTGAGATTCGGGTTTTCCAACTCTCTTGGGAGGACCTGCATATCTACTAGTTCGGCTGTAACCTCCAGAGGTTCCCAATCGCCGCCTCACTTTTGTGAGGAGTATTTTTTTCTACTGTCATATTAATATCAATAACCAACAAAGGCAAGTTTAATAAAATTTATTTAAAGTAACTTGTATCACATTCGTCAAGTCATGAAGAACAGCGCATCTATAACATAAACTTGAAATTGATATGGAGTAAATCAAGAGAACGCACTGTTTTTGCTAAGATTGAATACATTGCACGCTGAGTCATACGCAACAGAATTAACGAAATAATGAATTTCATTAGGAAAAAGTACCTTTAATAACATCAATCTGTTCATACATATTTAATTGCATGGTTATCATGGTTATAGAATGATAATATTATTACAAAAATGTAATTAATCACTCAGCAAACCAAAAGAAATAGATGCCTTGGTTAGGGAATGTTTCAAAAGAGAAATATCAGCCACTGTCAGTGAAACACGACCACCTTCAGAGAACAGTATTCTCATATCACACCATATGTAGCAACCAAAACCATCTGAACTCAAGGAACTGATCTCTGCGCCTTACTGTTTGCCTGTCCACAACCTTCTTGAGACACGCACAGTCACATAATGTTACAAAGACAGCGAAAAGAAGAATGATCGTGGTTGGAATCTATTTGTGTGACTCTTTTCAACAATGATAACATCAAAGCCCAAAATCATCTCAACAGCACCCTCTGACAGTTATGCAGACAAGTTAACCTCCTAAGTACAAAACAAGTGCTGTAGAGCAAAATTAGTTCACCAAAATTCAACTGTAAGAAGTACTTAAGAATCAAGCAAAATACTGCGATCAAAGTGGGATTAAAACCTCTACCAGCAAGAATCACACAGTAACACTTCCTTCAGACGGTCCAGTGACAGAATGACCTTGACTCATTCAAACAAAATTACATCGTGAAACAACATATCATCAGTGTGTCGCACAAACACAGAGTGAAGAATTAACATTAGAGATTAGACAGGTAGAAAGACAAATAACAAGAATTTAATCTGCATATGATATGCAAATGCCAGAACAATGATAAACAGTCTAGGAGATAAGCGGATAACTATCACAAAGTTAGTTGAAACACCCGAGTAAGTATCAACATTGTAGGTAGATCATTGAGGAGGGATTCTCCAAACAATCATTCCGTGGACTCTCATCAACTGCATACATCCTAAACAAAATCAAATTATAGGTTTCAAGAAAGTTGTGGAACATACTTTTTCATAATTACTTTGAGTTATAGATAGAAGGCATAAGGAACATAATTCCAGAATTTGATGTAGGTAGACAGTTTATTTAGTGCGTCGGTGGTATAGCGGTTAGGACGCTTGCCGACCATGCACATGGTCCGGGGTTCGATTCCCGGCCGACGCACTCCTTTACCTCGTTGGGCCAGAAATAATGCTGGTAAAGAGGAAAGGTTGGGCATGAGGCTAGCAACCCCATCCTGTAAAATAAACACTGCTACAGAAACTTCAAGACATTAGCTTGAAGCCCTATGTTCCACTGGGGAACGTGAAGGAAAAAAAAAAGAAGACAGGTTATTCGGTGTCAAAAACAACTAATTATATATAATGGAATTAGATAAGAGGGGTAAGAGTTCAGATTTCTATTGGAAAACAACACAGATTTGGTAGAGGCATATTACAGGGTCAGGGTCAGAGAACAGAGTGAATTTATACATCTTGTGGAGAGTTTAAGAGGATGGGGGTGAATAGTGAAGTAACATTTTTAACTTAAACAGACAAACAATTAAGTAGATTTAGAAACTTGAAGGTCAAAATTGAATAGAATGTTACGTAACAGGACAAACACACAGGCATACTGACAGAAATGCAAAACAAAATTAAAATAAAATAGAGTTAGGGTTACCAAAGTACTGAAAGATTAATCACACTATCTTTCTGTATACAGAGGTCTGGTCGAAATCTCTTGATAGCAATGGCTTCTGCGAAGCGAAGTAGCCATGAGTTTCCTCGTGCATTGATTATTTTGAAGGCTTGGCTAATTTCCACTGTGTGTCCTGTGTCAATTAAATGTCTGGCGATTGCACTCGGTAACACTTTTCTTCCTTTTGTATGGAGACTCTTAGGGATGTGCTCAGAAAATCTAGTAGATGCTGTCCTCTCAGTCCTTCCTATGTACTTGCTTCCGCAGGTGCACGTGAATTGGTGAATGCAGTTGGAGTTGACCTTCAATTTTGACCTTCAAGTTTCTAAATCTACTTAATTGTTTGTCTGTTTAAGTTAAAAATGTTACTTCACTATTCACCCCCATCCTCTTAAACTCTCCACCACAAGATGTATAAATTCACTCTGTTCTCTGACCCTGACCCTGTAATATGCCTCTACCAAATCTGTGTTGTTTTCCAATAGAAATCTGAACTCTTACCCCTCTTATCTAATTCCATTATATATAATTAGTTGTTTTTGACACCGAATAACCTGTCTACCTACATCAAATTCTGGAATTATGTTCCTTATGCCTTCTATCTATAACTCAAAGTAATTATGAAAAAGTATGTTCCACAACTTTCTTGAAACCTATAATTTGATTTTGTTTAGGATGTATGCAGTTGATGAGAATCCATGAAATAAAATGAACTCTTATTATCCTGCAAACATGTTCGTTCGTTTTCTCTTCAAACTAATAAAGGGAACCGGTTGCATGAAATCATTCCGTGAGTTACGCCGTATTCTAAAATCTGATTTAACTAGTTAATTTGTAAGTCTACAGTCAGTGAATACAACCACTAGTTGAATAAAGGATCCATTAGAAATTTGAAAACAGTGTTTTCAGACGAATAACTAAAGAACGATAGAATGATTAGGATAACATTTCTACGACAACTGGAAGCATCCACCCGCTGATTCCTAGCACAAATAATAACTGTCTACTTGTATGAATATTCTTTATTACAGTATGCAAAATCAGCATCTGGTCATGTTTATGTGATACTGAATGGATCAGTTGAACTACCGTTCAATGAAAACAAGTGAGTTGTTTATTACTTTGTCTTTTATGTTTTCTTGGACCAAAAATTCTGCCCAAATCTGGCAATTATCATGTTCGATCTCCTATGAATATAAAAGTGTAGTTTGAACAATGTGTCAAGATCTTGCCAACATTTATTTTCTTTCACTTATTTCGAAATATATTGACACTGGGAATTCACTTCTTAGTATTCTCTCCCGATTCCCACACGATGTGTCGCCATTAGCCGAGTATCTGCAGAATGTTCTCTTGGTAACAAGTTGAAATACTGAACCAAATTTATTGTTTACTTCTTCTGTAATTGTACCATCAATCATTAGATTTCTTTGTACAAGAATAATACTCAAAATGATCTGATCGCACACGGACTTATCATAGGAATATATACATGAAATTAATAAAGAGTGGCCACACATTCATGGAGAGGAATCATCGATCTCTAAAAGTAAGGGCTTCAGAGAGCATTCCTAGATGGCTTCAGAAGTAAATAGAATCCACAGAACCCATTAACGGTGAGAACGGGAGTCCTAGCTCCTCTATTGTGGAACACATTATAGAGACAGGACATAAAATTGATGCTTACACATCTTTCAAACCTATCTGTAAAACGTGTTTAGGGCGTACCCTAAAGTTTCTTGAAGCCCTAGCGATTAGAAAGTTTAAACCACCTTTATGCGTTCAAAGCAACAATCCGTCATCACACTAAACCACATTCCTTGGTAAACTTTGTTTTGATACCGTAGCAGATGTACTATTTCCTCTATTATTTGGTTTAATGATCTCAGTTGTTGTTATCACCTTCAATATGTCCTTTTAACTTGACCTAAATCTATTTTCTCACTCTATTAATTTTATATAATAATTTCATATATATATACATGTCTAGTCCGTGTGTGATCAGATTGTTCGATATGTGTTGCACAAATACATATTACAGAATTCAGACAAATGCGCCTTCTTATTGCTTTGTCTAAATGCATCAAGGGAACTAATTGTTTCAAAATAATCAATGAGGTGTACTGTCGTACTTTTTTATCAACAAACGGGGCGTTTAGTGAAGTCTTAGCGAAAAGATATCAGGTAATGAAGTGTAAATATCGCAACACAGGGAATAGCCCATGTCATTCAATTTCGAATACAAAATATGCCAACATGATCAAACATGGAGGGTGTTATGAAAGTTCTGTAACAAATTTTAACACTGCTGAAAATGAAAACTGAGAAAAAATCAGTTATAGACACTTGCCGAGGTGTAAATGATGACGAGGAACACAGAGTTATTAAAAAACATTAGTAGAAAAAGAAGTAATCATAATGTAATACCACATAAATTGCTAGCCAGATGTCGACAAGCTCAGATGTTATTACTGTTGCACTATTAACCCTTTGAATTCCCAGTTGAACATAGGGCATCAGCAGAATATTTCATCTTCTCTTCACTAGGTCACCTACATTTTACCCTCAGACTCACGCCCAGCTCACTGTTTCCCATTCGAGTTCAACTTGAGTTATGGCCTGCATTAAGCGTGATATCATTCGACGATCCCCTCAGTGTGCGTGTCTAATCGATCTCCATATCCTTCAGAATATTCGTTTAGCCATAGGTTCTTGATTGGTTCGCTCACAGACTTTCTCTTTGTTGACTTATCCTTTATGGTCATTTGGTGTTTATTATGGAGCCAGCGAAGATGGCAGGTGTTGATGAAAGCCTACAGAAGCCTTTTGAAAACGCTTTTTATGATGTGTGAGCCAAATTTCTGATCCACATAGAAGAACTGAATGACTTAACATTAGTGTTGAGAATCCAGAAAATTGCCAAACTGAATTTCTGTCGTGCCTTTCCGATCCCTCTTTTGAAATTCTCACCAGTGCTGACTGCCTGTAGTTGAAACGATGCTTCCAAGACAAGTGAAGGAAGTGACGTCGTCCAAATTTCTCCCCTCGATGGTGATTGGTGGTTGCTGTTGTCGTTGACTGACTGATTATCTACATCGTCTCTGTCTCTGTGTTTGCTGCTTCTTCTGCTAGTTTGTTGGCTTTCACCGGTGAGTCTTCGAGTTTATATGACATAAGACATGGATCGTCTGAAAAGTCAAGACCTTCTAGAATCTTCTTATTGGTCCTAAGTATTCCGGTCTTCTGCATAATCCAGTCTACCACAGTTACGAATATCATCGGTGATAACAGGCAGATATTAGGAATCAGTCAACAAAAGCTAAATAACCAATGTTCAAGTGTTGGTTTGTAGGAATTTGATTGGTTACTGGATTTCATCATGAGCTGATATTGGTTAGAGAACCATTGGAAAACCTGCTGGTAGTACTGGACAGCTATTTCTTCAGTCTGGTTTGGAAATCTTCATTAACACTCACCCAGTGGGGTTCTGACTCACGACCTTCTGGTTACAAGGCGAGCCAGCTTGTAGACCATTAAGCTACTGGAACCTGATCCAATGGCCAGCCCATGAATTCTAACTTCTGCCAATTCACGGGGTTAGAATTCATGTAGTTTATCTGAAACGTGTAATGTATTGGCGCAACACGTTTCACAGATAAACTACGTCTTCTTATTGTGTTGTCGAAATTCATAAAGGGAACTAATTGCTTTAAATTAGAATTCATTGGCCATTGGATCGAGTCCCAGTGGCTTAATGGTTTACAAGCTCTCCTTGTAATCGGAAGGTCCTGGGTCCGAACCCCAGTGGGTGCGTACTGATGAAGAGTCCCAAATTAGGACGAAACAGCTGTCCAGTACTCCCTGCAGGTTTTCCAATGATTCTATAACCAATGTCAGCTCATGATGAAATTCTGTAAATAATCCATGGTTTTGTTCGTGTTAGCATTTTTCAGTAACTGTGAAGAAAGCCGCATTTTCTCTAGACTTTGGACACACATAATCGATAGGTGTCTCAAAAGACGTAAATCACAGTCTGTTTAGCTGATGACTGAAGACGGTTGTAACCTAAAAAACACTGAGTAATCTCAGTCTTAATCTCTAAACGAATATGTATGGTCACCAGTATTATTGATATATTTTACTGAGGAGTGGCGAAAGCATGTTACTAATTATTTTCAAAATACATTGATGCAGGACGACAAAGTGAATCAATCGCACACATACATACAATAATCAATGCAGATATCAGACTTTTCAAGTTCTATATTCAATGTCATGTGGCCTAAAAGAAAACTTTATCATTCAGAGAGTGTGTGAGTGTTTATGGACATTTGGAAGTGAGTAGACATGTTAACTGTATGACAACTCATTATGATGATATTCAGATATTATTATCAACAATTGAGGGATTTATTAAGACAGTGGAGATACATGATAACTCAATGTTTAAGAGACTTGTAAACGAAACACTTGCACCTAATGCAGACTAAAGATCAGGTCGATGGGTTTTTATTGGGGCATACTAGCTAGTCAAAACATATTTTTAAATATTAAACCAGTAGTTTACCAGTTGAGTGAAGTAACCGTATAAACACCTGTTATTTCTAGCTATATTGCCTTTTTCCTGATTCAATATACCTTCACCTTCTTTAACAATATTCTGTATCTTTCGAGTTTCACCGCGGATCGACATCAGTTAGAGAACCAGTGAAAACCACCATCACGGAGTAATGGACAGCTGTTTCATCCTATTGCTTGTGAATCGTTGGCAGAACGCACTCACCAACAGAGTTAGAACCCAGAACCTCCCGGTTACAAGTCAACATCGTATACAATTCAGTCACTGGGACCCGACTCAATCGTCAGCCCATAGATTTTAGCATAACTGACTACCAAACATTGTCATTGGCAGGATATTCATCCTCACTCCCGACTGGATGCACCTCATCGACCACGACTTCTCACTAGAACTCCAGGAAACTCCGTTCTGTGGGTGCGTACTGCCGATGATTGCCAAGCACTACTATGAAACAGCTGTCTAGTACTCCCTGCTGGTTTTCAGTCGTTCTTTAACTGATATCAATTCGCGGTCGAACTCGGAAAAATACAAATCTAATCCTGAACTCTTGAAAATTAATCTGATGCTGGTTAATGACTTGTCACAGGACGGAAGTTCTTGGAGTTCTAGCGAGAAGTCGTGATCAGTTAGGTTCATGCAGTCGGCAGTGAGGATAAATTTCCCCCCGCCCAACCACCAGCGACACTGATTGGTGGTCGCACTAAAATCAGGAATTGTTAGAATTTAGAATTCATGGGTTGGCGACAGAATCAGGTCCAAGTGACTGAATGGTATGCGAGCCAGCTTACCTAGTAACCGCAAGGCCCTGGGTTCGAACTCTGCCGGCGGGTGCGTACTGCCAATGATTCCCAAGCACTAGGATGAAACAGCTGTCCAGTACTCCGTGGTGGTGGTTTTCACTGGCTCTCTAACTGATATCAATCCGAAGTCAAACTTGAAAAACAAATTCTGTATCTTTCTCATGAGTCAGGTATTTTTCTTTTTTGTATCAACAGTTGAAATGTTCACAAATGACGCATTCATCCTTAGCTAAATCTGTTGTGGTCATTGAACTTAAAACTGATAGAAAACCTTATCAGGTAAAGTTATAATAATGAATATATCATGCGTATGACTAAGCTTTTGTCATCATTATTCCTTCTTCTCTTAGGACATTTTCACGTGTCGAGCTGCCACTGTTAAAATACCCTCAAGTTCACAATTTAACAGTGAAGTTAGTCCACAGTTTGGAGAAAACAGGATATTAGTAAGTTAATTTACACAACATGAATTTATGTTTGAGTCATTTAACCATAGGTTACATTTGATGTTGGATTAGTGTCTAAAACAGTAGTTCTAACTATCCGGAGGTGATAACTGAATATGCAAAATATCGTCCAATATCTGTTTAATTGTAATCACCAGATAATGCACAACTTCCTCAGAGTAATTCCTTACTAAGTGTTGTATTTACCACTTCAGTGGATGCAATGGAGCGGATTGATTGAAACGGATAATGAGTGAAGGAACATGTTGGCAGTATCATGAATTGATGGAATTCTAATTCAAGTATCCCCGAATTGCACCTGATAAGAATGAACTTTCATGGTGAATGACATTAAAACTGAGGGTAATAAGTACACACTGCTGGAGGCCAAAAATAAGACAAAATAACTATCCAGCGCATCTTGATTTTCATTGGTATTTTAACTGGTGTCGACTTGAGACGATGTCGAAATTGAGACTAATCAAATCTCTACATACTCACGATTTTATCACGTTTCTGTTGACGTCTGAGTTAAACTTCACACTACTTAAATGAATTAAGAAAACAGGTTGAAATATAGACTGTAATAGTCTATATGAATAATAAATAACCTGTTTTGCTACCAAATCCCATGTGTTATGGTCTGAACGCAGGAAACCGATATTTATATCCTACTGTATGGCTGACCAAAACTAACTTGAGTTAGGAGCAGCAGAAAGATGTCTCGATGGTAGTAAAAAGACTGTTATTTTCAATGAAATCTGAGGTACTTACTATTCAACAATCATAAAATGTCAAACTGCCGTTGGACAGCTATACAGATCCCATAGTTCCCCGAGTATAAGACAAGTATATGACCAGAATCAACCGTATGAAGGTCGTGAGAATCAAGAAGAATATTCCGAATAAGGTGGGATCAAAACTTCATCAGGAAGAATTACTCAACAAGCACTTCTTACATGCATTTCAAGGTCAGAATCACCTTGACTCAATCAAACAAAATCACAGTCGTAAAACAACACACTGTGGACATCATCACACAACCACAAAGAGAAGTACTACAATTAGAGATCAAACAGGAACTAAAGCAAATAATGAGAACTGAACCAGCAGAGGATATGCAAACGTCAGAACAATGATATAGAGTCCAGGACAATAATGGATCATAATTAAAAAGTCAAATGGAGTGTCTAAATAAGTAGCGATGTAGTAAATAGGTCGTCAAGGAGGGATTCTCCAAAAAATTATTCCGTTACAACCTGAGCTGGGAGTATTCCGAATTTAGTTGTACTACATCTACTGCATGAAACAAATTAACTTCGATTAATTATTCTAACACAACCTGTTTCTCTCCAGTTGCGAAGATTTTCCATAAGATCAGAATAGGGTCTTGCCAGCAGAATTACAAGCATAATTTAACACTTTAAAATGAATGGGAGAAAGCTATGGAAACCTTCAAAAATGACTGACATTGTAGCCGAACCCCGGTGGGTGTGTACTGATGGAGAGTAACAAACCGGTTCTCCCTCGTTCTTTAACTGATGTCATATCATGATGAGATCCTGTAACGAATCAAATCAAATCAACGTAAACCAGCACTTAAATTTAAAAAGTCTCTCTCAGAAACTGTTTGTAGTCTTTGTCGTATGCAAAACAACCCTACTTGAGACTGAAACAGTAATTTTTGGCAACTGTTTCTCCTCATGTTCCTTTCTAGTCACACATGCAAATCTTTCAATATTCTTGAGCTTGCACGTAAGGTGATTTCACAGAACATTGGATTTGAATGCATTGAAGATCCTGCGTAAGTTGATTAACAGTATAAAATTTATTACATTGAAAATTTCATTTTATTTCCATCACTACTGACTTCAGAGGGAAACAGAAACTTTAAAGAAGTGACAGCCAGGTTTCAGTTCTCCTTAGTATTTTACCAATAACCTTGGGGTGCTAGTCACTTGTAGTAAAATCATGCTGGTAGGTGGTAAAATCTCCTTACAAATGGCTGATACCATATTAGGCGTAGTTTCAAAGTTTCTTCACGGCGATCACTTTCTAGTGTACTCACACTCCGAAAATGGATTTTCAAACTTACACAGTTAAGTATCAGTTTTACCTATCAGGCTCAATGGTTTCATGATAACCCCCAAAACTTAGCATTAATACAGGTTTATGGTATTTCTCTCCCAGCTGTCTTTCATCACCTGTACTCAATAGAAGTGTTTTACATTAGTGAGCCCTCTAACTGGATGAATTCATTGTAGTATTAACCAAAGAAAATCAAGGAATTGTAGGCATCAGATGGTTGAAGGCGATCGGTAGGGAGCCTTGGACCTAGGTTTCAAGCTAGTTGGCACTCCTGCAACCTCAGAGGAACTCATATGCCTTCTGGGATTCGAAACTGTGTCACCCAGTGCAGTGCTACGGTCAGAGACGTTACCACTGAGGTATTCAGGCTCGCAATTGACCTCCTGTAGGACTGTATTGGATATTTTTGACTGGACACTAGTGAGTAACTAGTATAATGTATCTAGTCTTCTGATTTGGTACAGACTGAATTGTGTCAGTTACAGTGCTCCGTGACGGCGAGCCATCTAGTGGCATAGTGGCTACATTGCAAATTGACTAGTGTCCAATCAAAAATTCAAAGAACATTTACAACTAGACACCGTGAATTTGACCACTCGTCTGTGATAAATTGACACAAGTAAACAAATAGCCAAAAATTTGTTTGAAGAGCAAACCAGAATAAGCTTTGATACTGTGATTATGAACTTAGAATAAGGCATTTAGAAGACGAATTTCTCGAGATACTGTCATTTCGTAGTTTCTTTACAACCGCTTTACAACTAACATGGTTAACAATAATAAAATAAGGATAAAGGCCTGACAATTACTCAGTTATATAAAAACAAAAGTACATACCAATGACCAATCGTGTTTAAATAGGTCGAGTCCATTGTAGGCGAAGGTTGAAGTCTATTGTTTTTTGTACACACAGTTTAGGCTGTGTGTGATTAATCTGAAGTGCTTCCATCACCTTCAATAACCTTGAATTAGAGTTATGTGAAGTAATTGTGAAACAGTCATTAATATTGATTTTGTTACCCGATATCAATAAGTGCTTTGGAATGGATGACGCTGGATTTCTATTCAGATTAATCGCAGTGGTATTTGCTATATGGTTTAATAACCACATCTAGAACATGTTCTTTTCGATGACATCGGAACATTCTATTGGTTCTGCCTATATAAGTGTCATTGGAACTGCAGGTGAACTTGTAGATACAGGTTGAAGAAGAGTCAACAGAATTTCGTCCTTTAATCGTAGGTATAGGGATGGAAAATGTTCAGCATGTGAGGGAAAGAGGTGCAACGTAAAATGTGCGTTTGATGGCTGACGGAAGTCTTTGAACTATCAACTGCATAATCTGGTCACTCTTGAATAGTAGGTCGATGAAGATAGCTTTCTTTGGTACGGAAGCCATCTTTTCTAAAAGTGGTCTATGCTTACTGTGACAGTTGATAAAGTAGGTTATCTGGATAACCATTAGCTAATAAAACTGAATGTATGTGTCGAATCTCATCCATCAATGTTTCGCGGGCCCTTGAAAACAGACATTTCACTAGGAAACGTTTTTACTGGATAGGAACAAAACTGATGAAATGAAGATATTGTCCACTCCATGTCTCTTTAGGAAAAATAGATCGCTTAGTCGTTTCATAGTCTCTCCTGGTCATTGTAATATTGTAGGAAACCGAGCTTGTTATTCGATTCGAGTTCGGAAGTCACTGGGATATTTGGATGAATATGATTAAATAGAGTAATAAAGTTTTCAATAGACTTACTGATATTATTACCAATAATGAGTGTATCATCTACATAACGTTTATATAGCATAAATTCTTCAAGCATACCTTACATTTGTTTTTTATGAGTTTAACTCAGTGACACTCAGTTATATCGCTAAAATTATTAACTAATGTTGCGTTTTTTCTGTTTTTTCTGTCTATTTAATATCACTTACAGAGACATCAAACATTATCTATGTATCAAAGGCCATGCCAGTGATGCTTGTCAATTTTCAAGTTCACCAAGATCAGTATATATGTTTAACTCATTTCTTCTCACTTTATTATGTGTTTTTTGTATTTTTCAATATATTCTGTAGAGTTCATATTTTCATTTTTATAAGAAAAAATGCAACAGATTATTGAAAAACCAAAGTAATTTTTTCATGAATTAAGTATAACAATCGAACAGACATTGTAGTAGTTATTTGTTATTTGTTTGTCTCATAGTTATCAGACTTTTGAAAGTATTTTCAGTGGTCAATTCCTTGTCTGTTTACGTTGACAAATCCGGCAGAGAATAGCCCTTAAAAGCCTCATTCGGGGGGAAATAAGATGGCAGAGGATTATTTGTATCAGCAAATATTGACGCTGATGAGTCAATTAGTGTAATATTTCCTCCAGGTAACCTCTTTTTTTTCCTTCAAGTTCCCAGTAGAACATAGGGCCTCAGGCTAGTGGTTTGAAGTTTCTGTAGCAGTGCTTATTTTACAGGATGGGGTTGCTAGCCTCATGCCCAACCTTTCCTCTTTATCAGCATTAATTCTGGCTTAGCGAAGATAAAGAGCGCGTCGGCCGGGAATCGAACCCCGGACCATGTGCATGGTTGGCGAGCGTCCTGACCGCTATGCCACCGACGCCTCCAGGTAACCTTAGCCTTCGCTGATAATCTCCGGATAACTGCATGTTACATTTGTTGGGCACTCATGACGGTTTTTGTATTTCCTACAGATTGCAAATGTCAAATTCTCATTGGTCGATAGCTACTTGAAATTGTCAGTGAATTTATTGTTTTCAAGAGTTGGTTTTTAAGGCTTAGATTTGTATATTTCCGAGTTTGACCACGGAATGATATCAGTTAGAGAACCATTGAAAGCCAGCAGGGATCAGTGGATAGCCATTTTATCTTAGTTTAGAATCATTGCTGGT